TCTCTCTCTCTCTCTCTCTCTCTCTCTCTCTCTCTCTCTCTCTCTCTCTCTCTCTCTCTCTCTCTCTCTCTCTCTCTCCCCTGAAATCCCCTGCCTTCCACAGAGGAGCTGCTCGTATAGACCAACCTCTTGCTTTACTTCCTCTTGTTTTCTTCTCTTCTCTTCTCCAGCCAGTTAGCAATCCACTTAACTCGGAGACGCCGGGTCACAATCCACCACCTTTGAGGCAACCAGTGCCACAGCAATTCTGAAAGTAATGGGGGATGACAGACAGCAGTTGCAGCATCAGGGGAAGCCAGCAGCGGTAGCGTCACTGCGAGGAATGCGCAGCTGCAAAGGAAACAAGAGTGTTAGGGCATACTTGCACTAGCACTTTCCAAAATGCATCGGACTGCGAAGCCCCGGACTGAGAAGTTTAATGGCCACAGCCCTGCCAAATTACAATTACTAATTTGTGTGTTGAAAAATGTAGTACAATAATAATAATTAAAAAAAAAAAAAAAAAAAAAAAAAAGATGTAGTACAATGATTTGCAGGTCGTGTGCCCAAGAAGGGAGGTAGGGGAATGGGAGGTTTGGTGCCTGCATGCACTGGGAACCACTGATAGGGGATACCACCTGCCTCCAAGGCTGATAATTAATGGCGGTTTTGGGACTGGGCTATATTGCCCGCCTAAATTTTGGCTGTTGCGCAGGCAACGAATCTAGGCTTCTGGGAGTTGTGTAGCTCCATCTCCCTCCTCCCACCACGGGTCATGCCGTGGCCTGATGCAATAATCTGATGTCTGTACAAACAACCAAGTACGATGTTTAGGGACGCTGGACCCGGTTTCCAGCAGGTGCTGCTTCCCACCAATAGATGGAGCCTCCCCGAAAAAGTGTTAGTGGTGTCTGCTCTTATCAGCACCTCTAGCATCACCTCGGGCTGCTTAAAAAAAAAAAAAAAAATGCATCTGACTGCTATTCGGCAACACCTGGATGAATCTGATGGCGATCCCGTATATGAAGTAAAGCTTTCTATAAAAAGTCTCAGTGTGAGTATTACCTTACCGCTGGTGGAAGGAAGGTGTGCTGGGAAAGAGAGTGAGATCTGATCTCAGATCGTATTTATGAAACCCGCTACCATCGTCCCACGAAGACAACGACCGGTTCATTATCGCTGCACGTAGACTGGAAGTTGCCCCAAATGCAGACAGAATACCCGTATGTTCTGTTCCGGGGAAGGCGGTAGCTGGATGGTTGATGGCCCTGAGGTGGGAGACATATGGCACTGTTCTGAGGAAGAAGGAGAAGCTGCTGGCAAATGGCATGGACTCCGGACATGTTGCTGCTCAGACACCCCTTTTTCGTGCAATAACACCTTCGCCTTCAGATGATGCAGGCTTGCTCCGTGTCCCTTCAGAAGAGGGCGGTTATTCGGAATTTCCTGGTGTAGTTAGGTTAGCTAGACTGTGGGGATTACTTGGAAGAGGGTGGCTATTTGCTGGTGTAGTTAGGGTAGGTAAACTGCGGGGGGGGGTTACTTGTATGTCGAGCCCCTCGAACACTGGGCATGGGTGGGCAGCACATAGCCGGCATCACCACAACACAGCAAGCCGCTGAGCACAGCTCAGGGTGGTACTATTCTTCTCCTCCAATGGCACCCAACACTGACCTCGGCAGTCCAGAGTGCGATGAATCAAGTGTTGGCTTTTAGGCTGCAATTTTCTTCATTGCCATGGTGATGAAGTACATCTCCTCCTCGACCTCGTCCTCGACCGCTCGATCCGTCTCAATGATTGCTAAACCGAAGTCGATCACTGACTGGGGAGTTCCCACTCAGTGGATGTCTGCGCACCATTCCCTGTTTCTTCTGTGTATAAGAAAAAAAAAACTGATACAATTTGTCCAATAGTTACATAGGGTGCTTCCACAGGTTGACATCCAATCCAGCCTAAAAGTAAACAATCTGCGACAAGTAACCAAAAAAGTTTTTGACTGTGTCATAATTTCCTCCGCCAGGCTGAGAATCCGGCGATCATTATCGCCAGAGATTTGCACACCATTCGAGTGGAATCCAATAACGCCAATTTGCGCCAGAGGTCCCCTCCCTCGCACAAAGACAGCAGCAGCTCACAGAATTGCAATTCCGAGTGGAATTAATTACCGACAACTTGTGACAAGGTCCAAGCGACCAAAACGCAATCACATTCGTGTCGTGTTTATCCATGCGGCTCGTTCCTTGGGCTATTGATCGCTGCAGCAGTCGGCATATAGCTGAAGCACAAAATGCATGATCATTACACGAGTTTTCCAACCTCCCCGCCGCCCCCCCCCCCCCCCAAAAAAAAAAAAAAACAAAAAAAAATCAAATTTCAAAGGCCAAACATTCTCAAAACCACAAAGAAGTCAAGACTTAAACCCCACCAGTACACCCAGGCCTGAAGGCGCTGTACTGCGCGCCAAGCTTTTCCGAACCGCCGGCAGCACCCTTTCTTTCCTTTTTGGCTGGTGCCGCTAGTCATTGCGGTCCCGGTAGCCCGAGCCTTCGAAAATTTTGTACGCGGCGAATTGCATTTCCAGTAAGACTGGGGCCACGTACTGGCTGTTGAAACCACCACTACTTCCAAAGGGACTTTTCTCTGGGGCAGTCACCGCGCTGTGTCATTTTGGCTGACGCCCAAAGCTAATTTTGCTCCGGCAGCTGACCCCCGAAATTTGGAGTCATCACTTTGGAAAAATGGCTGGGCTACCACCCGGGCCGCCTGGGTCACCCTATTTTCCCGGGCGGCCCGGCCGTGCAAGGACCAGGGGAGGTCCCGGCAAAAACAAAAAGCAAAAAAAAAACGGCAAAAAACAAAACAAAAGAACGGAAAAAAGTTTAAAAAACTATGTTTTGCAGAAAAATAAACTGAAACTTTTGCCGCAGGGGCATATATATATACAGGGTAACCGGCGTTCGAGACGGGCCGAACGCCCAAACCCGAACGCCCGAACATATGGGACCCCTTGGGGATGCGTTCGGCCGTTTGGGCCGAACGCGGACCCAAAAAAAAAAAAAAAAATCATCAAAAAAAAAAAAAAAATCATAAAAATCGGAAAAAAGATATGTCATGAAGAAAATAAATTAAACAAGATTTGCCTGAGCATTACATCCAAATTCCTTACCAAATTTGAGATAACAATAAATTACGAAAAACAAATACTAATAATAAAAATAGTAAAATACTAAAATAGCAAAAAAAAAAAGAATTAAATTTAGTGAGTGCACGAGCACGTTTCGACACCTGGCGGTTTTTCATTTTTTTTTCGGCATAGCTAAATGCCCTGAAAATTTACAGATTTGTACTTCACATAATGCAAAACCCACTAAAAAAGTTTCAAAAAATAATAAAATTGTTTAGACCCCGGACTAAAGTGAAAACAAACGTGGACGAGCACATTTTGATACCGCCATCTTTGGCATGTACCCCACATCATAGAGAACTCACAAAAAAAAATTCAGAAAAAAAAATTGTTTTTAGGCCCCGAAATCATTTTTGGCCGGGGCCGAACGCCGTCGGGTTCGGAGCTCATACGGGACCCCGAACGCCCGTACGTACGGAGGGTCTGCCTGGGGACCTCCGTACGTACGGGCTGGTGACCCTGTATACATATATATCTGTTTGTGACGATATATTTTATATTATATATATATATATATTATATATCGTCACAAATAGAACTGCCCGGTAAACCGTAGGCAGAGAGAGAGAAGAGGACAACAAACGAGGGGCTGTGACAAACTGTTTCGTCGGAGTTTCACCGACTCATCAGGAGGCTGAACCCTCAACAGTCTGCAGAATCCCCTCACTGATTACACTGTAAATGATAATCTACCTTAACCAAAATCAAAGTAGACTATCACTCACCCACACCAGATGGAAAACTCTACAGACTGTCGGTTATATATACTCTCTTTGAATTGAAATGAACTATTGTGAAAATCATAGTAACAACCAAAAATATAACTCATTAGAAGAAAATCCAACAGACATATTCCTAAAGTATACCATCTTACAGTTTATACATAAAGCTTCCATAAAATAGAGTTATTATATTAATTATATTTATTTCAATTTAAACTTTATCTTTCATTCTTGTAAATAATAAATGGAAATAGAAAGAAAAGATAATTTCAAAGTTCTCTGTCAATTAAATAAAATAGAGTGTAAATGGACTTCTCTCTTTCTCAGCTTTCCATTCTTTATGAATAAAATACAAAGAATCAATCAAGAAGTATTGATTCAATACTTCTTGATTGATTTATATAATTTACACAAAATGGATTGCAGCGCGGAAGGAGTGGCTGGAGGAAGGGCTGAGAACACTGAGTTGGAGACGAGAATGCTGAAAGGGAGGCAAGTGCTGAAAAAGCGCACCCCAGAGACCCAGAAAAAGGGTGATCCAAAACTCTTCAACTTAGGACAGGGAAAAAAGATTGACAATGTGGGAGGGCTGGGTGGCCTGGGGGTGGGGAACAGAGAAATAGGGCAATTCAAACTCATGAAATTTGGGCAGGGGCAGAAATCATAATGCGTGAGAGCTAGGGGCATAAGGTGGGCTGAGACAGAGAAAAGAAGGCGATTCAAACACTTGGTAATTAGGGACAGGGGCAAAAATCAAACTGCGGGACAGCTTGGGGGAATGGTGGGCTGGGGAAAGGGGTTGGTGTGGCCGGAGCTGTGGCCGCCCGCTACAGTGAGAAAAGAAAAAGAGAAACTTCAGGCGTGTGGGGTTATGGGATTCAGATTTAGATAAAAGCACCTACAAACGTGTGTGTTGGGGCGGTTCACATCTGATAAACCATAGACGGTCGACCTCATGAGCAAAATTATAAAGTCAACTGTGCCCCTCCACCCCCCTCCCCCCTCCCCCCCCCTCCCCCAGAAAAAAAGGGTTTCTGGAACTTTCTGGTAAATAATAAAGGGCCATAAACTGCATAATAAGCGTAATCAATGCTATTAGAGTGCCATTATGGAGTACAAGAAATTGCCAAACCTAATACTTTTTGCTGCCTAACGAATCTTAACCAATCCCTCCCAGGCCAACATATTGAAACCGCTGTCCGCTTGTATACAGCCGAAAAGTATGTACTATGGAGGAGGGGGTTCGTACTGATGGGGGTTAAACTTTAAAGTTGAAACACACATCTTCAAAATCAACACCTTGTCCTGAGACTAACCCCCTCCCAAAAAACACCCAAATGGGTACCCCTACTACCCCCTCAAGGGCTGCAAGAATTGTGCCCTCAACTTCTCGCCTCATCGTATCGAATGGCGCTGCCATCTCTCTCTCTCTCTCTCTCTCTCTCTCTCTCTCTCTCTCTCTCTCTCTGTGTGTCCCCCCTGAAATCCCCTGCCTTCCACTGATGAGAGTGACAGGTTCGACGAGGGACACGGAGGCACCACAGCCGCTTTCTGTGGTTTCATCAGATAAGAGACTGTGTGGCTGCTGCCATCACCCGGCAGGGCCGGCACCACAGCTGCACACCGTCTCTTTATCCGTGGTGCTCGGCTTTTCGACTCATCCGATCAAATGCTGCAGTTGGCGCTGTGCCGACGAGAGTGACATGTATGACGAGCGACGTGGAGGTACGTATGAGGTATAGTACACACAACTTTCCGTCATCTCGGCCAAAAAAATGCTGCAGTTGCCCTCATCTGACACAAGAGCTGCATTATATGCATGGCGCTCAAATTTTCACCTCGGCCGAATGAATGCTCCAGTTGTCGACCTGTTGTGGCATTGCCGTCAATTCGCCGAATTCACACATCGAACATACCGCCGTGCGATCGGTCCTTTACAACGATCACAGCATGCGATCTTTTCCACTCCGGGCACTGCAATCTGTCGTCCTCTCCCAGCACCACAGGGCACACACTTGGCGTGACGATTACAGAAAGCGGCTGCGCTTAGACCAGCCGATGTTATACAAGTTCTTTCGTGTGCCCATGTGTGTATTCAAGAATGTGAGGAGATTTCAAAACTCGAAGAAGTGAAGGACACATGTCACCCCCCCTCCCCCCCCGCCCCTCGAAGGAGAAACACACAGATGGCAAGCCACACTCACCCAGCTGTGAGAGAGGCCAGTAAGGCACCTCTAGCACTGGAGAGGGTTGTTTTGAAAAAAAAAAAAAGAGAGAGGCCAGTAAGGAAACATAGGTACTGAATACTCAGTAGAACAAATACCCAGACTATGGGCCGCGCTCCACTACTGCAAAGCATACTACACGTATCTGAACCTGTTAGAGGTCCCATACATTCAATATTTGGGGTCATTCCAAATGTATCGGGTCTGCATCCGGTCCAGATACTTGTCGAATGTTGAGCAGTGGAGACAGACCCCATTCATTATCTACTACGCGAAGCACATATACACATGTATACCTTCACAAATACAGAAACAATTAGTCTGCCTTCGCAGCCTTGCTGATTTCTCTGTGACGTCAACACCACCCCTTCTGTCCACCCCCCACCCCTCTTTCCCCCCCCACTTAGACAAAGCGAAAATTGCACTAAATCAATCACAAAAGCACCGGGAAAAAACAAAAAAAAAACAAAAACAAAAAAAACAGAACTGAGAGGAGCACTTCCTCTGACCAGATGCGATTAACAGCTACCGTCTGCACATCACACTAAATTGGGACTCGGTACGATCATTTCTAACAATGTCCAAGGCCCTGAGGATGCGTGCAAAAGACCAACAAAACCCCTTCAGGCTCCGGGTACCGATGATGCTATAGCCTCCAGCTTGCCCAATGATAACAAAACACTTGGAAAAAGCCAATGGCCCGATGGGACAATAATGCGTACGTTTACGACTCGCATTCCACACCCGTGGAGGGGGATGCGGCCGCGAAGGACCGCTCAACCTGTCAATCCTTGCTGTGTCTGGACCCGCCGAGTTTCCCCTTGCAGGCAGAGTCACATTAAGCCCCACAGGCTTGACCCCTGGTGGTGAACTTTCCCATAAATCCCTTCCGTTTCCAGTACCTCCCCGGCGGTGCCAATCCAGTCGACAATTGGGATGTCAGGGACCTTCTTTTTCCGCTCGGGCTGCCTCCTCATATAGCACGGCTGTAATCCGGCTGGCTAGATTGGTATCTTGTTCCGTCATCGACACTTAAGCGACCGAGACGTCGATGTTGTGCTCCGTCCAGAAAGATGGTCGTTCATCGCCCACCATTGTCGTCGACGTTGTGCAGCTTGTGCTCTGTCGAGAAACACGGCCGTTTCATCGCACACCATCGACGTCGATGTTGTGCTCCGTCCAGAAAGACGGTCGTTCATCGCCAACCGTCGACGTCTATGTTGTGCTCCGTCGAGAAAGAAGGTCGTTCATCGCCCTGGCAATATTGCGTTCGCTCATTTAGCACCTCCATCACTGTGTCAAAAGACTTATATTCTCCGCAGAGTCGCATACCTTTTTTCTTCTTTTTTTTTCACCTCAAAGTTCGCAAACCTTAAGCGAGCGAGACGTAGATCTTGCGCGCCACGGAGTGCACCAAAGGACGCAGGTCACTCCAAGAGGTCTCAGCAGGTGGCACCAGCTGAATAACGTTGATGTCGCGCTCCGTTGAGAAAAGCAGGCGAGTTACTCCAGGAGACCCCAGATGACACCAGAAGAGAGAGAGTATCTTGCTCGTGTTTCGCCTCCGGCTTGGCTGACTAACGCATTGGACGGCAGTTCTGGCATAACGAGCCTCGATCGAGGACAAGCTGGCGTCACCTCAGCCACAAGACAACACAGTGCAAGACAGAAGCAGTGCGATAAATTGATCGCCTCCAATCCTAGCTGGGTACTTGGGCTTCTTCACAGACACCCCCCAAAGTGCTATTGATGATGGCCACCAGATACGAACAAGTGTGGAGGCAGACGCTGTGTAACGAATCGACACCCACATTACTTGGGCACTACATACACTACGCAACGTCCTATCAATGGTCGATGACAAGCTACCGTCTTTTCACCCATACAGAACGCACTGTCAATATATATTATATAGCCGTATCTTTACCATCTGTTTGTCCATATACAGGGATAAGGACCGGGTGTTCTATACGGGTGAGGACGGTAGCATGACCTACCCACCATCATATGCCAATGCAGAAATGGAGGCCGTGCGATGAATCGCGACTGCCCGTACGCTGCTCTGAGGACTCAGGCTTTTTGGCTGTACTGGGGACCCCTGCAAGCATATAGCTACTGCTCACAATCAAGGCGATGCACATGTTAACCCCTGCCCTGGGCCCTGGCGGCGGTCGTCGGTATGGGGGTCAGCACCTACGTACTTGTTTATGTCTTTGTTTCTTGCATCTCAACCTTCTCCACTTGTTTCAGATCAGATGCAGCGAGCAGAGAGCAGCCGCTAGGCTCTGTGCCAGATGTGTTACAGTATACAGCGTATGTAGTCCCAATCTGCTCAAAGCAGGACCGATGCAATGAACATATCATCATATACATAGTAAATAGACTGAAAAATCACCGCGAAGGCCGTACTCACACTAGCATAGTAAATAGACTGAAAAATCACCGCGAAGGCCGTACTCACACTAGCAGTATCTCAAATGCATCTGACCGCATTCGCGGCCATACCCAGATGTATCTGGCTGCAATTCCATCCAAAAAATTACGTAAAAAAGTCGCAGTGTGAGTATGGCCTAAGGCTGAGGTAAGAAAACGGGAAACGGGTCAGACACCGACGACTCCATATAATCCAATCTGATCAAGCAAAGTTTGAAAAAAAAAAGGAAAATAAAAGAGTTAGCGAACATAGTAAATGAATCGTTTCTCTGCCGCCATCGGACAAGGTCACAAGGAGTCGCAAAGCCAGAGCAGGTTTCCGTTCCTCCTCCTCTACTTAACGAAATGCAGAAGGAGCTGTCTGCGGTACGGCTTTTGATATGCGCACCCATACCCTTTAACTTCTCTCATCGGACCATGGTCAAGGGCAATGGAACCATGCCATAGTTAGTCCTCATCACCTACCACAGAGATTGCAGCGCCACCCTTCTCAAGAACTCGGCGCTACTCCCTAACAACTGTTCGCTCGAGGGGGGAAAAGGAGAACGTTTATGGCGCATGCATCTGCAGATTCTGCACATGCCAGCGGAAAGCCGGTGTTGTGTGAGGCCAGCACCAGGGTTCTTCCTTGTCGCCTGGGGCCCGGAGCAATGCATCTCTACCTGCACGATGACCAGGTACGGTACTTGGACCAATAGTACGTATACTACACAGCTATGCCAAGTAGTACTATCGATGACTGACGCCGAGCATCGATCAACAGATATCAAATGGTCTGCAAGCTCCGCAAAAACTGCCTGCCTCCGAACAAAATACAAAGACGAGAGAGAGAGAGAGAGAGAGAGAGAGAGAGAGAGAGAGAGAGAGAGAGAGAGAGAGAGAGAGAGAGAGAGAGAGAGAGAGAGAGTGGGCGAAAAGGTTGCATGATAGAGAGAGCAAGGGGATGAAAAACTGCACAGGAGATCCTTCTGCACCGAGGAGCCACTGCTGCTGCAAACTCTCAATTCGAGCGACTAATGCTCCGATCTAGTGAAGCAGAGGTCACAAGGACTTGGTGTACCTGTGTCTTAAATAGATTGCAGCTGTTCAGGCGCACCTGAACAATTCCCCCTTTGACAAAGCGCACAGATACCCCACTCGAAAGATTTCCCTGGAATTGCTGACATGCTTACTCAGTGACTGATAGGTGCCATACAGTGGCATACACCATCGTCGCCCCAAAGTTGGCCGAGTTGTTGGGCTGATGCAACTGAAGGCAAAGGGGCGGGGGAAGATCACCGCGGAGTGACTGCCGGCATGGCCATCTCGATTGTGACATCATTATAGCCTAGCCCCAGATCCATCATCGCCCCGAAGTTTTCCGGTCCGTTGTCTCCGTTCATATTGGGAGAATCCCCTACACCGCCAAACATAAGCGGAAGCCCAACGCCGCCGCTAGCATTACTGCCTCCATTCAGCGATTCAGGTGGCAAGAGCCCAGCCGCTCCCCTTGCAAAGGGATCAGGGTACCTTTCGTGGGCACCGGAGCCAGGAATCATATTGTCCACACCGCCAGCGGGGACTGGTGCCCTTCGGTTCCAGTCATCTGGGCTTGTCATAGGGATCCCGTCCGGTAGACTAGGCGGCCGCACTGGCGTTGGAGGTCTGGGAGAGACTCTATGCCTGTTCCTGTGTCGGTTCGGACTACCTCCGCGAGGGCTACCTTGCCGTGGAGTTTGGTGAGGGCTAAGCATAGGACTAGGACTTGGGCTGCGCTCCGGCGTGATGTCACGCGAATTGCTGTTCCCGTTATGGGCGTTAACATTATACGACATGGGCGGCTCTTCGAGCTTCAGAATCTTCTGCATAGTGCGAACAACCTCCCGCATTTCCGGCTGATTACTTCCTTGCATCGCCGTACACCTCAGGGCAAGGTGTCCCAGCAGCCGAAGTCCTCTCCGCGAAAACGACTGCTCCTGGAGCGCAGTGTCCAGCAGCTCCTCCATGCCAGCGGCACCTGATGCCTCGACATGGCCACGAAACTGTCACACACAAAACACATAATAGACTATCAGACCGGCGACGAAAACAAGTTCCATCGAAGTTGATGGAAAAAAAAAGGCTCTCTCTAATTTCCAGTCCCATAACTCCAGTCGGAACAAATTTTCGTCAGATCGATGCAGCACACTGCAAAAAAAAACGAAAAGGTAGGAAAGTCCAGAATCTGAATTTTAAAACTCTTTGACGATTTCTCAGTCAATTCTCCCATAATTTGTGTGTTGCATCCTTTAAATATGGGTTTTGTAACTTTTGTCCATACTCGGTGTTAATTGGAGTTTGTCTCTAAAGAACGATTTCAATTCATATCTCCGTTTCACTGCTTCTGATCGCCGGCCAGAGATTGCTACTAGAAAATCATCTGCGAAGCGGCGGATGTAATGCATCCTTCGAGTCCAATGCGTGGGATTCAGACGCTTCGCGTCTGCTCTTCGAGCCTTGATTCTATTCGCGGATAGTTCTTTCTATAAAGTGGTCAGAGTTCTTTAAGGTATATAATATATATTTCATGGTAGGTGACTAAGACCGAAGGGCCGCCGCCTGGCGGCGGGCGCCTATGGTCGCCTCTTCACTCTCTCCGCGCGGCATTTGAAAAAATGCTTTGGGCCATGCTAATGTGTGTGTGTCGTCATTGCACAGGGGCCTCTGTATCATTCCATTTTTAAGCCGCCAGTACGTTTACCAGCCATTTTCTATGATGCGGCTGAATGTGCGCCACGTCTGCCGGGATGTACTGGTGTGCCGGTTCACAGCAAGCCCACATGCAGGCAATCGCGTCGCATGCAAGGCCCGTTTTGCCTGGATGGATTTTTGGCAAAGCGGCAACTCAAAATTCCCAAATACATCCCGCCGGACGCGGCGCACATGCAGCGGCGTCATCAGGGACGTAGAACTCGACTCACAGTTAGCTGTTGGATAGGCCCAACAGCGTATACTGCGGGACCTCGACAGTAGGCTTTGGATTGCGAGGCGATTGCCTGGATGCATAGAGGCAACATCGCGACAGCAGGACTGTGGACCGGCCAAGCAGAATGTACCGTAGGACTGTAGGATGTACGGTAGGACTAGCGACAGTCCTACCGTCGCGATGTTGCCTCGATACATCCGGGCCTGGATCGACCCAACAGTCCTACTGTCGTGATGCTTAAACCAACAGTCCTACTGTCGGAATGTACTGTGGGACTCGTGACAGTGAGCTGTCAGATCAACTTAACAGAGTGCTGCAGGACCTCGACTTCGACCGAGCAGAATGGGCCTGAATCCTTGCGACAAGGGAGAAACACAGAATGGCGACACCCATGAGCGAATACTTCAGTAAAGCTTGGCCGCAAGTTGCCGGTCCTATGAACCCAAGACCCAGTCCCAAAAAAAAAAAAAAAAAAAAAAAAAAAAGGATAAAACAACTGGGAAATGGTAACATAAAGATCAGAGATATCGCTTGGGGAAAATACAGATGGAAGAATACTCGCAAAAATTAGGGAGTCTGGAATGACGAGGTTATACTCACACTAGGACTTTATGGACTGAGCTCTGGACGTGGACGTGATGGCAGTCAGATGCATTCGGGTCTGGCCGGAATTGCAGTCAGATAAGTTTAGGAAAGTCGAAGTGTTAGTGTATACGATGTGTCCTGATTGAGTCCTTCGGGACATCCGTTAAAATTGGGAAGATACAGAAAAGATTAGCATGGCCCCCTGCACAAGGATGACACACATAAATCGAGAAGTGGTCAAAATTGGCAAAAAAAAAAAAAAAAAAAAAAGAATATGTCCTGATTGTGTATTGAATGATAAGACAAAGAGGAGGTCTTCTTTCCCTGAAGCTGTGACATTGAAGCTCGCCACACTACTCACGAAATGGGAAAAGATGCGAGCACCTGTTCCTGCAGAGGATGGCAAGATGCATGCACTTTACTATGAACAGTAACGCATGGATGAATCTTTCCAGTTGTTTTGGGAAGATGCACTCACATTTTTCTCGTTTCGTGAGTGGTGCGGCGAGGCCCTTTGTTTCAGTGTGTCGTTAGGGGGTAGGGGGTCGAACTTCAACAGTCTGTCCAGTGTGCATCTTTTTGCTCGATTGGATTTTGAATGAAGATAAGATGACATCTACTTTGCCCAGCTAGGTAGGTAGTGTAGACTCTGTAGAGGTAGATTGAGAGAAGAGTACACTCAGTACATCTTCGTGTTTCTAAGCAAAAAAGATGAAAGATGACACCTTCTTTTTCGAAGTTGCGTATTAGGGTTGGGATGCGAGAAAGCGCTCTTACCCTACTCATCAGATCTGGAGGATGCTGTTGCTGATCGAACGGCTTCTGGCCTGTAATCGTCTCCATCAGAACAATGCCGAAGCAAAAGACATCGCTCTTTGGTGTCCTCTCACTGGCGAACGGGAACTCTGGGTCCACATAGCCGAATGCAGCATGAGGAATCATAACGTTGATCTCCCCTCTCGGCGTCAATCCCATTGTCCCATCATCCTTTCTCCCAAAGTCGCCAATCTTTCCCTGCCAAGGACCTCCTGGTGTTGGTTGAAACAGCAGGATATTCGTACTCTTCACGTTCTTATGAGCAACTACCACACACACACACACACACACACACACACACAATCAGTTTATGCATGCTTTTGTTGCTGTTTTTCTCCTGTATGTGTTTCTCAACTTTCTTTGCGCGTGTGCGGTTTTTTTTTTTCCAATTACTTTTTTCAAGTTTTTTGTGTATAAGCTTTGCTCGGTTTGACCCTTGCTCGGTTTGACCACGTGCTTTTGCATGCACATCTCGACATCGCTACGCTTGGTTGATTTAATCCATAATAATAAATACAGGAAGTCACGCATACAAGCACGCAGACCCACCCACACCTATCCCCCCCCAATAAAGACACAAGAGGGGGGGCCCTCGAAGGTAAGCCGCCGATACGAGTCTGAAGCCGACCCTTGAAAACCATTAGGTTGAAGCTCAGAACCGCACTTCCAAAAATCAGACGCAAGTGGTTAACGGGGACCCCCACTTTCCGCTCCTGACCTATGGGTGCGAGTGCATTTTATAATTATTATAAACAGAACCAAGAGGAGGGTATGTACTTAGTTTTTTGTCTCTGAGAAAGAGGAGGCCGTTAAATTACCCCCAGAGATATGTACTTAGTTTTTGTCTCTGAGAAAGGGAAGGCCGTTAAATTAATCCCAGAGATAGAGACCGTCGTTGCTAAGTACCCCGATCTGTTTGAGGAGCCTTCGGGAGTCGTAGACAGGGAGATTGTCCATGCCATAAAGGTAATCCCAGGGAGTAAAACCCCAAAGGGAAGGATCTATAGGATGGCTCCGCCCGAGTTGGACAAACTTCGTCGGCAACTGAAAGAGCTCACAGAAAAGGGCTGGATTCGGCATAGTACATCCCCCTTCGGCTCACCAGTTCTATTTGTCGCGAAGAAGGGAGGGACAATGAGGATGCGCATTGATTATAGAGGCATCAATGCCATCACTGTTAAAAACGCAGAGCCTCTACCACGCATCGACGACCTATTGGATAGGATGCACGGATGAAAGTATTTCACCAAGATAGGTTTGTAGTCCGACTACCATCAAATTGCCATTAGACCAGAAGATCAGCACAAGACCGCATTTCAGACCAGGTACGGTCTGTAAGAGTTTGTGGTGATGCCTTTTGGCCTTTGCAATGCGTCGCAAACATTCCAACATGCCATAAATAGGGTCTTTCATGACTACTTGGATAAGTTCATCATCGTGTACCTCGACGATATACTTATCTTTCGTGGGACTGTTGAGGAGCATGCCGAACATGTAGAAACCACAATCTCGCTCCTGCGACAACACAAGTATAAGATAAACTTAGAGAAATGTGAGTCCGGTCGCACTAGAATCTTGTACTTGGGTCATGAGATATCCGCACAAGGGATTAGGCCCGAAGATGCAAAGGTGGCTAGCATTCATGATTTGCCACGACCCCAGTTTGTGATTGTTGTCGGATCATTCTTAGAGATGTGTGACTACTACCGCGATTTCGTAAAGAATTATAGCACGGTGGCCTCCCCTTTGACAGATCTAACACACCTTGACACACCATGGGAATGGACAGACGCATGTGAGGCTGCTTTCGAAAGGTTGAAGTACGCCCTCACACATCATGAGATTCTCATGGTCCCCAATTCGGAGAGGTCATTCATTTTGACCACTGATGCAAGCCAATATTGGTAACGTCGAGAGTACAACAAGTTGCTGATGCGCTATCACGTAGGGCAGACTACCTAGGTGCGCTAATTACTGAATTTGGCTTATCCGATGATGTACCTCGGTCTTTGGTGGAAGCCTACAAAGAAGACCCCGTGATGATGGACATCATGTGCAAACTTGAGGACCAAGACAAGGCCACATCTGACGAGTTTGTGTTGGGGGACGGTTTACTCTTTCTTGAAAAGGCAGGTTTTAAAAGGTTGTGTTCGTTCTAGAGAGATTCTTCGTAGTTTGTTTTTAGGAGAGTGTCACGACGCAACCGGTCATTTCGGCTATAAGAAGACTAGTGCTAATTTAGTGCAGCGTTTCTGGTGGCCTGATATGCTTGACAATGTAAAGAAGTATGTACAGACTTTTCAAGTCTGTCAGCGAGACAAACCGCGAACTCAAGCTCTCTCTCTCTCTCTCTCTCTCTCTCTCTCTCTCTCTCTCTCTCTCTCTCTCTCTCTCTCTCTCTCTCCGTCTCCCCCCCCCCGTGCAACTCATTGGGACCCCCTCTCCTCGTTTAATCCAGCCAAAGATCACACCCACCCGTTGACTAATCCCACCAGGGACCCCTTACTAATTCAACCAGGTAAATTGCTACACAATCATTGCCCCGAGAAAACAAAACCTCTCTCTCTCTAGGCCAAGCGGCCTAGCTCAGTTGGTTGAGCACATAAGTGGTACACAAGAGGTCGTGGGTTCGATTCCCCACGGCATCCATTCGATTCCCTGTGACCCCCAGTGTGGTATGCTTCGGGTTCACCAGCTGAGAAAGTCGGCTTGTCCCTTCTGGCTGGTTCTGGAAGTATGTGAATCTGCTTTCCAGCTCGCACCAGGTGTTAGAAGCCTGGGTACTGTTCCCCGCATAGAACAGCCCGCGAGATATGCTGACATTGCTGAGGGAAAAAGAAATCTGGAGGCCAGGAATCCAGCCCATAACCCCAGCGTCCGCTGCTAAGCTAGTAGTATATAGGTAGGTAGTGGGAGGTATATTGAGAGAAGAATACAGGTTAGTTTTGTTCAAGGAATTTGAAGAAAGGGGGGGGGGAGGAACCCTCTCTCTCTCTCTCTCTCTCTCTCACACACACACACACACACACACACACATCTCTCTCTCTCTCTCTCTCTCTCTCTCTCTCTCTCTCTCTCACACACACACACACACA